TGGAAATCAAATTGTTTTCAGTGAGATAACCGTAAACCTGGTCGTAAATGATACGCTCAAACACCTTAGCTACTATAGGGACGATAGAAATTGGGCGATAATTGTTTAAGTCGGAGTGATCTCCCTCTTTGAAAAGTGGGATAACCTTTGCGCATTTCCATTCCTGAGGGAAAACACCTGATCTGATGGACTGATTAAAAATAGAACACAATGGATCAGCTATCAGATCGGCGCACTCCCTAAGAAGTCGCGAAGATATCATATCTAAGCCTGTGGCTTTCGATTTACAAAGCTTAGACAAAAGTGAGAACACTTTAGAAGGATTAATACATTTTAACTCAAAACGTTTGTCAGTTCCCTCAAGGTAATGTAGATCTTTAGCTTGCGGAATCTGTGCGGAAATTTGATGGAAGGCTCACGGTTACTGTCGCTTTATTCGACTCCTTTCTCCAAGATGTGTTTTAATGAACGTGGCACTAGCAAGTGCGACTTTGTATAAGCACAACATTCCCAGGATAATTTTTGTTAGCTAGAGTGGAACAAATACTGGAAATATGCACCAAATAAGAAACCTCTCAGAGAATACACCACGAACATCACGATCGTCACTATTGTTCGCTGCAATAGATATCTCGCAGAGCTCAGTTTGTACTGATCGTTTCCACGAACCCTTGTTTCTTTTTGACATTAACTCAAGTGCATATAAAACAGCTTCAAACTTAGATATCGCTGAAATTTGCGGTCAAGCCGAGAGAGAGTAATCTGCACGCCGCAAATTGGAAGGTTGGAGGAATAAAGGATGGAATCGGAAGAAAAGGTTGAAAAGCTCAAAGAACTATTCCAAAGTCTGTCAAGGCCTCTTTTAAGAGCAATTCTTTGCAACAACGAAGTCGATGGCAACTTAACTGCAGCCGTTCGGTGGATACAAAAATTTGAACCGGCGAAAACTACCAAGATGCCCTATCTGCCTGCAGTAGCTGCTGAAAAGGAGTTAAAAGAGGGTTCATGTTGCACTCCTGATGTTGGATTTAGCCAGAAGGAAAAGAACTGGACAGGAGAAGGTAAACTGAATAAAGACGCTTACACTGCTCAGACCCTAGACTTGAAATGCTGTGTCATTCGACGACATGCCAAGAAAACAACAAAAGAGGAGTGAAGGGTTAGATAGTCTGCGTTGATCAGCAAACAGGTTTAAATTCAGACAGCAGAAGATTCATAATTGCAACATTTTAGTCCACGGATACCAATTTCTTTTATTATCCTTCACAGGAAATAGCCAGCAAGCCAGAGAGCCAGACCCTCACAGTTCAACAAACCAAGACTACCACCAAAACAGCTATCAAATCAATCACCTCCACAGTTCAGCAAGCCACCACCAACACCAACAAAACTACAATCGACTCAGTCATCTTCACAGTCCGGCAAGCTAGAACCCCCACCAAAACCACGGCCAGCTCTATCGCCTTCACAGTCCAGCAAGCCAATATCAAAACCACAATGAACTATATCACCTTCACGGTTCAGCAAACCACCGCCACCATCTGCTGCTCCAAAACCCCGGTCAGCTCAATTGCCTTCACAGTCCAGCAAACTAAGACTACCACCAAAGCCACAATCCAATCCGGCATCTTCACAATCTCGCAAGCCACCACCACCACCATCAAAGCCACAACTAACTACATCATCTTCACAGTACAGCAAATCACTACCACTACTCCACCTGTTGCATCAAATCCACGATCACCTCAATCACCTCCACAGCTCATTAGGCCAGAACAACCAAAACCACGGTCGGCCCCATTGCATCCACAATTTAGCAAACAAGAACCACCACCAAAACCACTAACAACTCAGTCATCTTCACAGTCCAGCAAACTACCACCGCCTTCATGTGTTGCGCCGAATATGCGATCAGCTCAATCTATGTCACAAACCAGGAAACCACTACCGCCACCTGTTGCACCAAAAAAACAATGAACTCGATCACTTTCACAGTCCAGAAAACGAGAACGTTCGCCAGAATTAACTCGATCACC